GTAATTTCGTTGGGCCATTCGCTCTCGGCTCTGACTAACCATGACCGCGAACCAGGTACGATTACGCGCTAGTGCGTGAGGCAATTGGCCTCTTGACACCGCATCGGCCGGATTGTCCTCGGATCGGACATGCCGCCATTCGCCTACGCTAGTAAACTCCTGAATTTGTGCGACTCGATTGGCAACGAAAGTCTTGAGCGAATTTGGCGAAGTTTTTAACCAATGCAAGACGATGGTCGAATCGCTCCAAAAAATCGTTTTACTAGGCACGATATTTAGAGTGCGGCTTACGTCGCGATATAAGTGAGCCAGTAAGGAAGCTCCGCAAAGTTCAAGTCGCGGTAACGTGAGTGTTTTCAAAGGCGCGACTCGCGACTTAGCGCACAATATTCTAGAAACCGTGAAACCGCCTCTCCCTTCCGAGCGCCCATACAGACATGCTCTATAGCCGATATTGCTGGCGTCGCAAAACCCGTGAATTTGCACTTCACGGCAATCTTCAACAAATAACTTACGGGGAAAGGTGATTTGATCAATTAATTCCAATTGTCGAGCGAACTCTAGCCATTCTGTATAAATACATTCCGGAAAATACCAATGTACTCTGGAACGTCACACATCCTGCATTAATTTTTTGGCGTATAAAACTATCGGACCCAACAAGCCTAATGGATAAAAAATTTTTGCTACCGCGGATAATACGTTTCTCTTTGTCAATCTTTCATTGATTTTAATCGGATTAGTGGTGTAGCATATTTCGTCGTCGCGTACTCCCCATGTGATTCCTAATGTTTTCAAAGAATTATCCGCGTCAAGTGCAAGGCTTGAGCGTAATGCGCGCGCCGGCAAATCATTGATGATACGCTCATCATTAGATGCCCATTGCCTGATATTAAAACCTCCGCGCGCGAGAATGGCAATTAAGCCGTCCCTAATCAATCGCGCCTCGTCTATGGTATTCGCCCTTGACAGCAAGTTGTCCACATACAAATGCGTCTTGAGAACTTCAGCTGCCTTCTGAAAGGCGTTGCATTCATCCTCCGCGAGTTTTTGGAGGGTGCGAATCGCAAGAAAAGGAGAGGAGGCTACCCCGAATGCGAGCGTATTGAGCTGAAATGTCTTAACCTTGTTATCGTTGCGCCACAAGATGCGCTGAAATCTTAGTTCATTTTCATGCACGAATACTTGCAAATACATTTTTTCAATGTCTGCGGTCATCGCGTATTCATAAGTTCGGAACCGAATTAAATGTGTAAACAAAGTTCTGTATTGTCGGTCCCACCATCAACGCATCATTCAAAGACACACCGGTATTTGTTTTCGCTGACGCATCGAACACAATCCGGATTTTGGTTGTCTCGCTCGACTCTTTGAATATCGCATGATGCGGCAAATAATATCCATCATCTTTAGGATCGTCTACTTCTGATATATGATTCGATGTCAAATATTGTTCAAATGCTCGTGTATATTCGGCCTTGAATGTTGCGTTTCGGTCGAACTTACGTTCCAAAGCAAGCAAACACTTAAGCGCTACGCTTCGCGATTCTCCGAGACGCGTGCCTGTATCACGAAATGGTAAGGATACTGTATAGCGTCCG